ATTTTTAAAGATTAGTAATTTTATCACCCTACAGCAGGGATGATTTGGAAAAAATATATAAAAAAAATTAAATTCAAAATAAACAAGAAAAAATGTTAACTTCGGTTGCAGCGAAGCTATAATACCCTTTACAAATACAAAGGTTACCTAATTGATTCCGATCTAATTTTGTGAAGATACCTCGTTAAATAATAAGGTTTCCCATACCAGCACTTGATTCCGATTGTTCAGTTTGTATGCCAGCTATATGCTATAGTGGCCCGATATCGGCCGTTCCGACAAATGAGCAGCTTTTTAGTGAGGAAAGGACTCAAAAACTAAGGGACTGGTTTGCATATGCACAAACAGACAGACGGACTCAGCTCATCACGCTGGTCATTTATGAATATATTTTATAGGGTCTCCAACGTTTCCTTCTGGATGTTACAAACTTTGTGGCAAACTTATGTTCAGGGTATAATTTATACAAAGGCAACTGAATTATAAATGAAGTCAGCAAACATATAAGATAGAATAGCGTAATATAAAATAACTTAACTAGCATAACGTAACGTCACAAAACTTAACGTAACACAACAAAACTTAACATAAACTGACAAAGTTTTAATTTTTTTAGATTGTTAATTTTATGACCCTACATAAAGGATCGATTAGAAACAAAATTAAAAATATGTAAAAAATAAAATAAAATCACAATAAAAAAAAAATTAATATGAAGAGACTTAAATAAACTAATTATAAAAGAAAATAAGCAAACAAATAAGATAGCTTAGCATTATATAAAACTATTTAACGTAACGTAACATTGCATAACACAACATAACTTAACGTAACATGAAATGGTACAATATAATGGAAAATAAAATAAAACAAAGTGAATTAAAATAAAATTATATTAAAAATAAATTAAATTAAATTAAATTAAGTTAAAATTTAATATAATGCTATAAAATAAAAGAGTATATTTAAATTTAAAAAATAAAAATAAATAAAATTTAACCAAATAAAATAAAGTAAAAGCATGCAAAATTGCTTAAAATATATTTTATTTTATTATAAAATTTTTTCACGGAAAATTAAAAAATAACTTCAATACTCTTAGTTGAGCAGTTTTAAGGATTAAACATTTTTATCGATTAAAATTAGTGATTATAGTAATTTATAAAAGTAACTTAAAAACATGCACTTTAAAAATTAAATTTCACAATTTTCTATACATTCCGCTTAGCAACACACATTTTCCATATCAATTCAAACAATTAATATTTCCACAAGCCCATTAATATGCAAGAAAAAAAATTCCACAAAATTCACAAAAGCAGAATGAAAGGAATAGAACCTTTGATTTGCATGCAAAGTGTTCATTCACAATGCTAAATTTTATGCAAATATTTTCTGCCAACGAATTTACTGAATATTTATGTAATACTTGTATATGTATATCATACCTATAAGTGCGTATGCATGTGTGTGTGTGTGTGTACTTAAACGTGTATAATTTTTTGCCAATGCGTGTGTGCTGTAGCGTACCGCACGATCACGCTTACCTATTCTGTTATTACCGTTTATTTAGTTTTGTTTTTATTCTCTACTTCAATATTGTTTTTGCTCACTTAAGTGGCGTTATTTTCAGTTCTAAACAGTTTAATTTAGCTTTTTGTTATATTTTTGATTCGATTGAATGTTATTTTATTTATTCCTCTACCGCGCGCTGCCAAAAGTCATGGCTTCTTATCAGCATTCATTCATTCATTTAAATTTATTTTGCAAATTGCAACTATTACCTTTATATTCTAAAGCATGCATACCTATAATTGTACTCATATGTATCTCGCTCCGACATAGAAATATTCAAATTTCGATTGATATTGTATAACTCAATATGCTTATTAATTGATATTGAGTTGATATAAAAATGACAGCTGCTAGTGACATAAATGTCATTTAGAATATAAAGAGCACTTATTATACATATGTTGTTCCGTTAAATTTAATTAAACTTATAAATCATAATAACTGAGTTCTATTTATTGCGTTCTTCTGATGAACATACGAAGTGTGCTTATCTCCCTATTATAGCGCATTCAAAATTTTTTGTTTTTATTAAGCACTCGTACCCCCTACAGTATAGTGATTTTGACAGCAACTTTTGTTTTGACATTGTTTTTTATAAACGGCTTGATAATGGTTTTGAGCTAAAAATATATTTAATCGCCGAATTTTATACATTATTGTTTATAAACATAAAACATATGACGTATAAGTTCTGCAGCTGCGAGTTTTCTGTAATGTTTATAGAAAATGCATATATCCAACAGTAAAGTCTACTAAATTCATAAGTCTAATATATGATACCGCTAAGTACTTTATGGATTTAGACTGGATTTGGGAATATTGAAGTGGCCATATAGGTTATATATATTTTAGAGTTGCCGTAAATATATTAGTAAATTAGTTAATATTAAATCCAACTATTGGCTATAAACACTGCTTGATAACAGCTGCACTTATCTGGAGTAATAAATTGTTTTGTCTGATTATACTCGTATGTTATACAAGATGACTACAAATCGCACCTATTTTTTTTTTTTTTACTTTTGTCTACTTCTTATCTACTTCTTAGCAGTTCCACTGCATATTTTAGGAATATATAAGAATCTCGGAAAATTTCAATAGTCATGTCATAATTCTGTCAGTCATCAATTATAATTCATGGGGCTTGCACGCTTTAGGTTTGTTAGACATAGGTACTTCCCTTATATTTTCCTTACTTAACACTCCCTTATTTCATAATTATATATTTACATATACACATACATACATTACATATGTTAATAGCGAATAAAAAAGATCAAAATTCGGATGTCAAAGGATTATAACATATACTTTCATAAGTAATAGCATTATAGTCAGTGGGCTTTCTTTTTTTTTTTTTTTGGTATATTTGTTTATTTGAATAAAATTAATAAACTTAATTACTACAATAAACAATAGTATAACGATAATATATACGTACAGTGTCTCTAGACGAGCTCTCGAGTACTTCGCTATCAGTCAGTGGGCTCTCTTTAAGCAAGAACTACCCTTAAGGGTTTCAAAAAATACAGTTATGAGTACAACTCATTTGAAGTTTTAAACGAACGTTACAGAGAGCTAGAGAATTCTTTGCTTATTACCAAATAACCCGAAAAGTATTTGTCGCATTTACTTCAAATTCTCAAAGAATATTATATTTTAAGAAAACTTAAAAAAAAAATTATTTTTAGTAAATTCTAACTACCCCTAAGCCTTTAAATAGACTTAACTTTGCCATACATATAATCAGCGAACATACTAGAATACGTTCTCTGATATAATCAGATATTTTTTTATACTCTTTTTTTTAACTTTTATAACTCTTTTTTATTAAATGATTTTTTAATTCTATTTTCATATTATTTCCCTCATTATTTATATTTTCTTGTCAGAAGTCAATTTCTTTTTTTTTATTATTTTAATTTTAATTTATACGCCTACCAAAGAACATCAGTGCATATCTATGTATATACATTTTGATTATATCAGAGAATGTTAATAAATAATAATTATAAATATAATAACTTATTAACATAGAATAAATAATTCATTTACGTTCTCTGATATAATCATTCCAAGAAGTTTAAAAATTTGTTTGTATTTGTTTAAATTTTGGTTTGAGTGATGCCTAAAAGTATACAACAGCTTCTTAAGAAATTTCCTTACATTACTTTACGTTAATACAGTGGGCTAAAAGAGCTCCAAATAAATAAAGTATTTTGTATCGTGGAAAAAAAATTGTCAAAAAGGTGTAATGCTTATAATAAAATATGCTGACCATAAGGGCAAGCTAATTGTACAAATTAACATTATATAACTAGAGGAAATAAAAATTGCTGAAATTCTCTATACCTTTATAATAAGCGGTCGGTTGCTATCTGACAAATGAGAGACCTAACTTTTGTCTGCCGTGGGGCATCACTATTCGTAAACATAAATGTATGGACTTATTTTAAAATAGTTGATTAATTTCAGATAGTTGAGGATCTAACTATGAAAGACATATATGATTGAAAAAAATATAACAAACATTAGGCTATGTTATGTATACTGTCACTCCATACATGGTTCTTAGTAATGCCAGATGGTTTAATTAGCTTAATTTGGGTTGAAGAATTCATCATAAAAACATTAATTACATTCGGAATTTATGTGTATTGAGCACGTGAGAAAAATGTGGAAAGTTCCATAAATTCGGTATAAGTGGGATAGAAGTGGTTATAACCTATTTTTCCATTGGAAGTGGGCGTCTCAAATGGTGTAAAGGGTAAAAAATAGAAATGTTATGAACCCAATTATTAGAGCAGCTTTACTTAAGCTCATTGTTTATATAATTAGACGAAAGAAAATGATCTCTCATGATAAAAACAAACAAATTATAAGATTGCCTTCCTAAATATAATTCTCGTTATTGGATGACTTTTGAACAATAAAATTCAACATTTCTTCACATTAACTCAACTATATTTTATAAAAAAAATTAGTGAAATAAAATCGTTTAATACTTGTGTACCATAATATCAAATGCAATATAAAAATGACATTATTTCAGTTGAAATAGCTCATCACTGTAGTCCAAGCGACAATCATAGCGAGCATAACGGCGGAATGAGAGAACGTCGACATGGCACCGCCACCGCCACCGCCACCCCAACTGCCACCACCACTACCGCCACCACTACCACCACCAGTGCTGTTGCCGCTACCAGTGCTGTTACCACTCGGCCTCGTGCTATTGCTCGTAGTATTCGCACGCTGCATACTATTCACATAAGTCTTCATCTCATTGTCGATCCAATCGGTGTAGTAGGCCACATCCGTGTAAACGCCGGGCAGCAGTGGCAACGCGCACTGAATGCCCCAAGACACAATACCGGTCAGCCGGCTATTACACACCAGCGGACCACCAGAATCGCCAGCGCAAGCATCACGCTCACCTTGCAGATAACCGGCGCAGAGCATGCCATCACGTATAAGACCCCAGTCGAAGTCGGTGTCTTGGGTACACTGGTTACTTCCAATTATGGGCAAGTCAACTGACAATAATTCTGTAGATAATAAACCCTAAAAAATATAATAATATAAAGAGGAAACAGTTATAAATGCCAAAAATTTGTATATAGCAATTAATAATAAAAAGCGGAAATGAGTTTATGAGCTGCGCCCAATTGAGTTTTATAAAGCAATAATACAGTAATAAAATGCCTAAAAGTTTAACGCAAATTATTGAATTGTGCAAATACATATGTATGTATGTATGTATATGAATATGTATATATAAATTTGTATATACATTAATAACTGTAATAAAGATAATTATTGGCACCGCCTTGTATGTGTGCGTTAGTTATAATCTATTAAAAATTAGCAATAGTTCTATTTGCGAACTCGTCTAGAAAATTATCTTCGACACTCAAAGTGTAAATAATTGTCTAAATAGTCGCAAAATTTCCACAAAAGGAAAGTCGAGCCGAGTCGATTTAGCCACATCCGTCCACATACTCGTAAAAACGAACTAGTCGCTTAGTTTTGAGATATCGATCTGAAATTTTGCACACATCCTTTTATCCACTAAGAAGTTGCTCAATTGTTGGAACCGCCGTTATAGGACAACTATAAAATATAGCTGCCATACAAATTGACCGATGAAACTCAAGTGCTTGTATGGAAAACTTTTTTATTTGACAAGATATCTTTACGAAATTCGGCATAGCTTGTTATCCAAAACTTCGAAAAACACAAATAGGCTCGAGTTCTATAACATAAAGTTTTTCGGACACAATTTCATTAACCAGTAACAGTGTTCAATCAATCCTTTTTTCAAAGACTTTAAGTTTCAAATTCTCTCTTTAAGTTTTAATTTTTTATAAAATAATATAAACAGAAAGATATAAATATATATAAATATTATAACTATTTTTGAGTATTTCTGATTTTTCACTTAAACTTTTTTCGTCCCTTTTGAATGCAATTCTTTAATTCTAGACATTCCAACCTAAAAAGTATAAATTTTCGTGGTTTCAAGCTTAGCTTAGAAAAGATTTTCACTGCTAATTTTATAAAATTTTAAACTCGCCTGAAATATTATAATCATAATATATACTTATTACTGACACAATTCATCTCAGTTATGCAAACAGACCTACAAGCTCCATGAGTAATATACATATAAACACATATGTTTACATATTAAAATCGGTATGAAACTGATATTGTTATATCAGAAATCTAACTTTTAAATCCAAAAAATATGATTTCAGGCTTCACTTTCACGGCTTTAAGTGCGTGTTTCGAAATTTTTCGAAATAAAGGCACAACTATATTGAAAATAAGCACTTACCTTTTCGGTTTGACCCCAGCCCGTCGCCTGGCAGACAGTGCCTGCGGCTACTGCTGTTGTAGCTCTTTGAATTGGCTGCACAGTGGGATGTCCTGCCGGGACTGAGCCGTTCAAAAACACCAAAGCAATATCAGTCTCATATGTGGACAAATTAAATGGATTTATGCCATAAACTATCTGATCGATATCGAACTGCAGCGTGTATTCGGTGTGGTCATAACGGTTTAGCGTGCCCATAACCACAACGTATTGAGAAGCAGGACGATAAACGCCAGTACTGATCTCCTGACTGCAAGAAAAAGTAATACAGAAATTATTATAAACTTGAGAAATTTAAAAGCAATTATTAAACGCTCAAAAATCACTCACTTGACAAAGCAATGCGCTGCGGAGAGCACCACATTCGGTTCTATTAACGAGCCGCCACAAATGTGTCCGGTACCAAAGAAGACTCGATCATTTGAACGCCTCCTGATTGACACCTGGTGTTTGGTCGCATTTACATTCGCCAAAGTGCCATTGATGATGCGACCGCCCTGACCAATGGAACCGGTATTTGCGCCTGTTGCAAAAGCTGTAATGTGACAATAACTCAAATAATGCAATTCCAATGCAGAAGTGATATTCTTTACTCACTTGCGCTCTGTGATATCTGGAATAAGGTGCAGAAGACTGCCAACAAAAGTATTTCTAATCGCGCCGTCATCTTGCCAAAGCTTGCTTAAAGTGTTTGTCAAAAAAATCGAAATCTACTGTTGTGTCCTTGTAATCAATAATACTTTGGTCTGCTCTCTACGACGGCCTACAAATGAGTGAAAATCAATTTAATGAGAAAAATTTTATTAAAACAAAAGACATAACCTTTACAGCCGATTATCTAATCTAATCGAAGTAAGTTTTTGAGATATCAGCGCCTTCAACTAGTTTGTATAAATTCACATCTGATATATGTACTTATATATAAAGGGTGATCCATTTCAAGGTTTTCTACTTTTTTAAAGAAAAAAACGCTGAAAATTCAAATTTAATAAGGGATTTATTATCATTCGAAAGAACATTCTTTGGCATTTATTTTTTGAAGATTATCTCTTTCAAATGTTGGCTGCGGCTACGTCTCAGATAGTCCATCAGTTTAGTCCAAATTTCGATGACTCGTCGTGCATTTCGACTGGGAACTGGCGAATGACACGCATGATGTTTTGCTCCAAGGCCTAAATCGAAGCCGGATTGTCCGCATAGACTTTAAACTTTAGGTATCCCCACAGGAAAAAGTCTAATGGTGTGATATCGTACGATCGTGGCGGCCAACCGACTGGCCCAAAACGTGAAATTATCTACTTACCGAAGTGTTCTCTCAAGAAATCCATTGATTGATACGATGTATAGAAAGTGGCGCCGTCTTGTTGAAACCAAATGTCGCCGAGATCACGAGCTTTAATTTCAGGCCTCAAATAGTCGGTTATCATTGTCGCCAATGACGGTTATGGTCCTACCGACATTATTTTTGAAGAAATATGGACCGCTGATTCCACCGACCCAGAAACCACACCAAACCGTTATTTTTTCTGTATGAAATGGCAGCTCTTGAATCTTTTCACGTTTCAGGCTCTTTACATTGGCCTCATCGCTGAAAAAAATTTGGCTCGAAAACGTCAGATCTTCTTGGAACTTGTCAAGAGCTCATAGCGCGAAGCGATGTTGCTTGGGACGGTCGAGCGGCTTTAGTTCTTGCACAAGCTGTATTTTGTATGCTTTCAATTTAAGATCTCGAGTTGCTTCGAACGTCGTCAAATCGACTCTCCACGGTCGTCGTGTACACTTTTAGCTACGGCCGCTATATTTCCTTCGCTGCGTGCTGGGCGTGGTCTTCTCGGTCGAGTGTTATCCAATAATGAATGTTGGGTCTCAAGATGGGTGATGGTGTTGCGAATAGTATGCTCAGTAGGCCGATTGTGTTGCCCATAAATTAGGCGAAGCGTAATATTTCGTAATAAAGTTGAACGATTTGTAAATGTTGTTCAGGCGGTACTCTTTCCATGATGACAATACTGAAGGAAAATAACATGATAGCTTGACACGACTCACGCATGATCTGTCAGAAAAAGGTTATTGAAAAAAGTACCTTTACTTGGATCACCCGTTACATATATATTTTTCGTGTTTGTATGTATACCTATATTGAAATTCATATATTAAAACTTGAAATACTAATTGCACCATCTTATCTCGAATTGATCCTCTTGTAATTTAATTGTACTTTACTCATACTATGAATTTACTAAGAGGTATAGAGAATATTAGAAAGCCTTGTGTGATTCCCATAACATAATACCATTAAATATACATTCATAGATATATATATGACATATGACTAAGTCATCGATAAAATCATGCCTATGATAAAAAAAATGTTTTTGAATTTCAACAAACTTTTTTCAAACCTCTAGTACTGTATGTAGATTCGTAGTTCAAAGTAACCCTGAAAAATAAGCATACAATAATTAAAGAATAAATTGTAGAAAGGTCAATGTGATAAGCTAATTAACTCACTTTTTCAGTTAGACCCCAATCGATGACCTGACAAACCGTGTCATGAGTTACATGTCGGATTGAAACTCATTGCCGTGCCATTGATAAAGCGTCCATCTAGTTCGAAACTCAATTGGCTACCGCTCGGTGCGGCATCTGCGGACAAAAGATGTCTCAGTATATATCTTTTTATTTGTATCACTTAAAGATCTCACCATTAATTTTAGAATAGCACATAGCGTCAGTGAAATTATTATAGTTCTTAACATATTGAAATACTTTTCTTTTTATCAACATCGGTCAATATTATCTACGAATATGCGAAATGCGTTTAGCCTTGTTGCTTCCTCAAGCAAGGTAAAAAACGAAATGTTCGCAGGTTTTAGTTTGCTGAAGGCAAGTAACTTCTTTTAGGAAACTCCAATTTTGTATTATTTTAATCTAATCGCAAGCGATTTCCGCTCAAATCAAAACAGACTATAACCGATATTACTACTTGTATGTATTAAGTTCATAAATAGTGTGCCAAGTCAAGTGGGTTCGTATTTGACTAAAATTGTTCGAGTTTTTTCGTACCGCCTTGTACCACGTCATACGTCACGTCATACAAGCACTTTCTCACTTCCCTACACTACTTACCAGTGAGATTACATTATTCAATTATTGCAGATAATAGTGTCGTGCGAAAATTCGGTAGTACTTTCGCGTTTAGAAGGAATGCGTAAACAGATTGGATGGAAACCTTAACATATTAAAAAACCATAATATTAAAGGTTGATATAATTCCTTTACCACAAAGAACCTACCCTCGTTTCATTAATCTCTGAGGTCCTGACTAAAACTCTTTACAAAACTCTAAATTGGAACTCTAGTCTCTTTAAAATTCCTTTCATTATTACTAGGCCTTGTTAATATGTCTACCTTCAGCAGATATGAGGTCTAGCAATTAATCATCTACACAAAACATCATCTATCACAAATCTTAATCCTTCAAGGTCTGAAAATGTTATATTTCAGAGATTCGTTGAAGTCGCTCTTGGATTGGACATTAATAAATATCACAGGTTCTCCTAAAGAACTTTATTGCGCTACAGTGTTAAACCAAATTTAACCCATAGCTTTGGGTTTTACCGACTGCGTTGGGCTTACCTGCTGTCGTCAGTTGATTATAATGGCTATGTAGATTATATGACATGATTAGACCGTTTATACTTCGTCAGCTTATAAATCATATTGTTTTTATTTTATTTATAGACACAACATTTAGACATATTGTTTAAAAGCCAAACTGATTTTTTGTTTTACCGCGCTGGAGATTTTTGACTTTGTAAACTAAATACTTGTTCGAGTAAGGAGGAAATGGATCGTGAATGATTATCCGGTTGCTTTAACATCTAAAGGAATTAATGAAGCTGCCATAACTAAATATTGGAATAACCAGCGATATAGTAGAGGCTATATGGATGAGCCAAAGGGTTAATCCATGCCATTTGTTTTAAAGTATTGTACTTGAATTTTATCTTCCATAAGCATAAATTGGAAATAACTCAACTTCGACGAGATAGTTTTTCTATGGTTCGTCAGAGCTCACTTCCTGGAGCCAAACCAAGCGTTGATCGTATTTCTTAACAACTGCAGGTGGCTTTCTACTGAATAAAGGAGTCAAATTTTCTCCAAAAATGTTTGTTTCTATGGTTATATTCTTTAGCCGATACACCGTCTGATCTAATTTGACCCGAAATGGCAAACAATTTTTCACGTATTTTAGTACAAATCTTTATTTTCGCCCATTTTGGACCAATAAAACCATAAAAACGCTTCATTTGATTTTCTACACATTTATTATAAGCCTCGGCTGGGATGGACTTCACTGCCTTTAACGAATTTCGGTTTTAGCTAATTTGTGAAACGTCATTCGCTAGGTTGTTGGACATTTTCGTCGTCATATTCACAATCCCGCAACTCGTCAACAGTAATGTTGCATTTGGTGAATTTAGGGTTCTCAGCTACGCTGTCAAGCATCTCTTTTGCGAACCTTACTCAACTTCGATTTTGTAAAAGATTCAGGTCTTTTAGTACGACTCCAGCATTGACACGCTTCATACCCAAAATGTGTTGAGTAGATCCATAAGAAATGTTGAGATCCTCTGCTATCTATGTGAAGCCAACACAACTATTTTCAAGCACTGTTTCTTTAACTTTTTCGATGTTATCGTCATTAACAGAGTTAAAAAGGCGACTTGCATGAAGCAAGTTTTCGATGACTTGACCACCTGACTATGTTTTCTGACAGTCAAGTACTTGTGTTCGTAATAAAGTAGACTTCCCAAAACACTTCTGCAATATTTTAAACGACTTCGTGGCAATGAAACCATTCCAAATTTTCAAGCAAAGTTAAAAAATGGAAAAACAGTCCGGATAAAATTCGATCAGATACTTCGTGGTACTCCGCATTTCTGACCATTTTTAATACATCCGAACTCCAACTGTTGGTCTCTCAAATTTTCATTGGGAAGATATATAAATTCAAACTATAAATTGAAATCAAATTACAAAATTACAAATACAATGTAATAACAACAACGGACTCCTAATTTATTATGCGAGTTATATTTACTTAAGTATTTAATTGACATTTTAATTGTGTTTTGATATTTACGAAACTAATTTATTGCGAACTTGATTGAAACTGAAATTATCAGCAATTATCTATTCAGCGCCAAAGTAACAAATACTGTCAGAAAAGCGATAAGGCCGGATACATGACTGCCGCTCGCTTTGTTAGTACTACTACTATTACCACGAATTTGCTCATCGATCCACTTCGACCAATAGGAAACATTTGTGTAAACTCCTGGATAAGCGGGTTCTGCACAACCAATGCCCCACGATACTATGCCCGTCAATTTATTGTTGCACACAAGTGGACCACCGGAATCACCAGCACAAGCGTCACGCTCACCCTCCGGATAGCCCGCACACAGCATGCCCAGACCGATGAGGCCGGGCCTAAAATTCATGTCATTTGCACAAGCGGTGTCGTTAATGATGGGCACGTCAACAGTCAGCAAAACATCCGACAAATAGCCCTGCGGGTTAACGGTGAAATATAGAACTTATCAGAAATAATGTCTGACTAAAAGCAACTCACCTCTTCAGTTTGACCCCAACCAGTTACCTGGCAAACGGTTTCATCAGGCACTTCTTCGGTATTGAGTTGAATTGGTTGAGCTCTGGTGTAATTCGCTGGCACAGAATCGTTCAGAAATGCCAAAGCGACGTCCGACTCATAGCTGCTGAGATTGAAAGTGCTCACGTTAAAGACGATATTCTTGATATCGAATACAAGTGTGAAGTTGTTGCGCTCATAACGATCCAGATTTCCCATCACCACAATGTAGTCCTCAGGCG